CGAGACCTTACGGGCTGAGAAGCCTGATATGTTTACTGTGTTGCTCTGCTACAGCTGCTCCAACAAAATCTCACAGACTGGGTGCCTTAAATAACTGAAATTTATTTTCTCATGATTCTGGAGATTAGAAGTCCAAAATCAGTCAGTAGGGGTGTTCTCTTCCTATGCTTCTCTTCTCCTCCTGTAGATGGCTCTCTTATTCCTGCCTTTTAACATTCTTGACCCTGCCCTAGTCTTTCTAGATGTCTTCTCATAAGGTCAACAGTCAAATTGGAAAACAGAATACACTAATGACCTGACTTTAATTTAAGAATCTTTTTAAAGATTCTCCTTCGAAATACGGTCACATCATGAGGACTTCCACATATGTCAGCCCAGAATATTTGCTGCCTGGGTTTATAGAGAAAATAGGTATCAGCCTATCCTATAAAAGCCTAAGAAAGGTATACCTGACAAACAAGCCAGTATTTTCTTTGCATTTCCCTATTTGTTTCCCATTATACATAAGTTGATAGAATCATACAGCTGAAAGATTGGCTTACCCAGTATATGAAATTTCTTTGCTTATTTCACTTAGCATATAGACCTCTGGGTTTATCTATGATGTTTCAAATGGTAGAATATTGCCTTAAGACTGAATAGTATTATATACATATATTTTTTCTTCATCAGTTGATGAATACCTAAATTATTGCTTTCAGATCTTAAAATTAAACAAAATAAAACAAACAAACAAATGAAAAACAGAGCCTGCTGAGGAAAAAATCACCTTGAGATATTGATGGCCAAGTAGAGCAGTTTAACTCTGTTAGGAACAAAAGGGCAGGGCCTAAGAGAAGAAAGCATTTTTATCTGGAGTTAGCCACACCACGGCCTAAAGAAACATGTATGTGAGCTCAAATCTGAGACCCCAAAGGAAGTCTGAATATAAAATTGAATTAACAACAAACTCAACCAACCTCGAGGGCAGGCCTTGGCAATGTTGTGATAGAAATAGCAACAATCATTATCCATTTTAGAATCTGTAGGAACAAGTATTTTATTGTACTTTATTATTTGTTCATGCCACTTTATGGATATTATTATTACCTAGGAATGCTCCCTCACACACTCATAAAAGAGAGGAAACTGAGTTGAAATAAGAACATAGATTGTAATCTTCTAAATACTAGATCAAATATTCAAAGTTGAGAATCAAAAAGCAATAAGAAAATAACTTCAAAGACCTTTTGAAAAATAGTCAGATGCCTAAAGTCATTTTCTTGTTGGTGGATAGTTAGGCCGCTGTAGATTTAAGACAAGGCTGACACTGGAAACAGACACTAGCTGAAAACAAAATTAAAAACAAACTGGACTGGTTTGTCAGCAGGTGCTTGCTTTTATGTCCAAATTTTGGTTTAGTTAGAATATGATACTCTACTGCAATGTACTTTCAAAATAATTACTTGGTGTTTCCAGGTATAAAATTCAAATACAAGAAAGAGTAAGGCAGATATATGTTATATTTAATATATTTCATCATATAATAGAATGTTAAGCGAGTTTCCTACATATTCCTAACTAAATATGAAACGTGTCCAAGAAATTCAGACAGAATTTTTCAATAGTCTTGAGACCCAATGAAAGCAGTCTCTTGCCTGGATAAAATTTTTACAAAGATTCAAATTCACTTTTAAGGTCAACATCTGGCTGAATTTAACATTCACATTTGACAGCTTCACTTTCATTAAAAAACTGTTTAGAATTTTTTTCAAAGCAGAATGTGCCTTTTATTTTAATAAAGTTTTCACACATTTGCTCTGTTCCTTGAGGAATGGATTTATATGCTTGAACTACTCTGAGCAGTTGGGATTTCAGGCCATCTCACTAGACAAGCCACTGTAGCAAAATGCAAATCAAAGGGGCAAAGGGCACAGCATAATGAGCAAGAGGATTTATTTCCTTGTCTTCTATTTCCATATCCTATGGGAGCATGTAAAAGAGGGAAATGAGATATAGTTTTATGTACTTTTTTAGTTATAATTGATGCTTTAGCTATATGGTAGCCATATAGAATATATCTACTTATTCCTCAAAATAATTTATAATTTGATCTATGATTGAGTAGTATTTCAGTGTATCTACTGATACTTCAATGTCAAACAATAAATGCATGCTCAATACACTATTTTAACTATGGAGAATGCTAAATAATCTAACAAATTACTCATGTACACATGCAAAGCAACACACAAACATGCATCACTGAAGAAAGATGAGAGTCAAAGTAGTTTCAATTGGAACATCCTTATGTGAAATGGTATGGTAAGATATATTAAAATAGGTATCATTTATTGAGCATATATTGTGAATAAACTAATACTCAATGCATGTGATCTGTATTACACAAGAGTCTAAGAAGGTAGATACTATTATTGCCCATATATAGTTGATGGGGCAGAGGTGTTTAAAGATCATTTAAGTTGGACAAACTTGATTAGCATATTTAAAATCAGTTTTTCTTACCCTTAAGCCAATGTTTTGTCCACCATGACACATTAACACATGGAACAGAGCTAAGGGAGAATTTGAAAATAACTGGATCATCAGTGTGAGATCCTCAGTACAGATGGAAGCAAGTCCCTGACAGAATACAGGACATCTCATGTAGTACATATACATCAGAGGCTACTGAAGAGCCAAGCTTAATTCCATCTTTTTGTATGTACCAATTAGAGGTCCTGAAATATTAATACAATGGCTGATTAGGAGAAAATTCTATTATATGTTTTCTTCCTACATGTTGCTTGGAAGCAACAAATGTATCATGGGCACTCTATAAATGTTATTTAGTGGCAAATAATAAAATGAAATTATGGTAATATATTTTGCAATGAACTCACCATAAGATGAAGTATAGTGAATTTTGGTACTAGACCTGGAAGCTGAGTAGATTTCAATAGCTAGGACAGTGAATAGATCCTATGGGGAGGCAGGAGTCTCAAACATGATTGTGGTAGAAAAGGTTAACAGGAGGTCAGGATGATAAAATTTTTTATTGCAGTTTGACAAGTAAATCTGCTCCTCCTGATATTCATATTTGTTATGTTAAACATGAAAAAGGTAAATTAAAGGATACATTGTTAAGCTGTTATCATACCTACTCAGGCCTAACCATGAAGTAACCATTGTCCATTGGTCCTGCCCATTTTGACTGTCTTATTGTGAAAGAACATAAAATGTGTTCCCTGAAATTATCCCTCTGTCTCTCTCATGAGTTTCTATTGCATATAGCTTACAATTTCAAAAGAACCAATTATAATTATTTTATAAAACAGGATTTTAAACAACTTTGCCCTCTGGCATTCAAAAGCCACTGAATTGTAAGACTCTGAGATACTCAGGTGTGTGTGCAGCTTCTGAGTGTACTTTTGTAGATGGAAATTAGAGCTGTGAGTGCCTGGGAGAGAAACCAGGCTGGGAGCAATCTCACATTTTTTTAAGTGAATGGAGGAGAAAAATTCCACAAAATAAAGTGAAAGCTTGCCAAATAGAGGAACCCATAAGGAAACCTCAATTTAAGTTCCTCTTCCTCAATTTCTGTATGGTTCATGAAAAAGGAAGCACTTAAAAGTACTCTTTGAGGGCTCTATTCTCTTTCCTCTATTCCATTTTTTGCCTTTTACAATCCCTCTGAGGATAAGGGCAAAGCACTGAAAGTTACCATTTGGGTGATTCAATCCTTCTTCTGCATCTCCTCTTTTCTTCTAATAGTCTCCAATGCTCCAAAGAAATTAGAACACTTTTAACAAGCGCTGTTGGGAAGCTCAGCCACCATTTCCTCTCCCAAGCCTGTGATTAAGCCACTGATGGGAACACAAACTCTGTGTTCCAGTCCAAATACAGCAGTAGGTGCAGCACACTCCAGGTCAAATGAACCTGCCGTTTAATTACCCATCCCAACAGTCATTGTTTTACACAGAAAAATATTAACATAGTAGTAGTTTACACTGATTCCACTCACACATGACTAAAACAGTGCAATTCATTAAAAGGCCTGATATATTTTGAAATGTCTTCATTTTAATAAACTCACTGTGATTGCTTGATGTTTGCTTTCTTTCCTGCACACCCCCCTCCCCACCACTGATCCTGTGATACACAACACCATGACCCCATATGCACAAACACACTTTCAACTTTTAGAAAATAGACACAAAAATCATCCCTTCTGGATGTAGTAGGTTATAGGTATAATAAGCTAAATTTCATTTTAGGATCAGACATTTTTCCCTTTTAATTAGTTTTGTTACTATTCAAAACTTTGTCAGATTTTAACATTTCACTTTGTTAAAAATGGTTGTGTCCTTCTAAAGAATTTATTCATGTTTTTACTAACAAAGTTAAATCAGACAATTTTTAAGTATATTTATCTGACACTGTAGTAATTCACTTTACTAAAATGTTACAAACTCAAAAATAAAGGTTTATAAAGCACACAAAGTGTGACAATATAATATTCTCAAGACTTCTGATAGAGTTGCTGTAAATTAAACACTAATTCATCTATTTATATATGATTAACATCAACGATAACATCAATAACAGCATTTGAGGCAAAGTTTGCATTGGTGAAAATATGGAGAAAATATAATGGTTGTCCAAAAATATAAATGCTTAAGTGAGTTTCCAAAGTATGTATTCCCCTTCATTGTATGTTACAGCTGCAAAAGAAAATCCTCCAGAGTATTAATATGAACTTATGAAAATGCAGCTTGCAGCACGGTTTTGTTTTGGTTTTGCCTGTTTTTGCTGACAATGCAATTCAAACTATATCTTACTCATCTTTAGCAAAGAAATCAGATCTTCTCACCTCTAAACATGCAGTAACAAAATGCCATTCTTCAGTCAATACTGACTACTTGACATCTTTCTCTTTTTTACAGGTTTAGATCCCCAGCTCATTAGATTATTACCTGATAAATAGGAGAGGGTAATGAATTGAGAAAATAACTACGTACCTTCAGAGAAAACCTGCCCGATAACAATAATCCATTAGGAAACTGGCAATATCCTCTGATCTATTGCCCGCAAAGCTATGACTTGATGGAGAGTTTCATTCCCTGGGCTCAGTTCTCCAGAAGAAAATCAGCACAATTTAAATATTTCTTGGAATGTGACAGCTCTCTAGATCCCGGGTTGCATTCTGTTCCCCAGGGAAGGCAATCTGCTGCTCCTGTGTGCACAGAGCAGTGAAGATGAATTGAAAACGCTTGAGATAAATTAGGAATGGCTAAGTTAAAATTGTCTCTGCTCCAGACTCTCATCTGCAGTCTGCAAGCCTGTTTTTCTGTGAAAAAGCTAGATGGCAGGCTGCCTCGGTAAGTTCTTCTTAAGCGACAGAGAGCATTTTCAATGAAGAAAAATTCTCCCATTATCTAAGCTAATGTGACTGCTGCTAAATCTAGTTTTTAAAGTGTTTGCTGGTACGAAATTTATTTTCATTATTGCTTTCTTTCAAATCACAGTTTAGAATCCATACGATCAGGTTTTATACAATTGTATCTGAGAGAAACACTCAAAGTTTTTTTCAAATCCTTTCTCTTTTTAAAGTTTTAAAGATTATTTATGTATCAGTAATTTCCTCTTAGGGTCAAAAAGGCACTTAATTGTATTGTGTAATATGTAAAATGATTTGTTTTTAAGTTGCAGGATTTCTATATTAATAATCGTACTTTTTATTAAAAATAACTTCTGTTAATGCATTTCCACATTGAAGTGCATCATTCTATAATGTCTGACAAAATGCAAAAGTTCTATAAAAATAGAAAGGGAAATGTCTAATTCTATAAAGGACCCCAGAAGTAAATATTTACTATTTAAAAATATTCCTCAAGAAAATAAGATGTTCTAAGAAACATCAAGTTTCAGTAATCTCTTTTACATAAAAAGCCATAAATTCTTTTCATTTAAGTAGAGTGATATGTTAAAATATGCTGTTTTCATCCTAAATTACAAAATTAAACATTTTACTAATAGTCTGGATTTGAGATATGAGATAAATACTGTCTACTTGATATATTGATGACATACACAACACTTGAGAGGTTACCAAAAGTTCAGATCCATGTCTTTACTCGGATTTGTTATATGAAACAATTTTTATATCATTAGGTAAGACACTTAGAAACTTCATGACTAATGAGAATATGTATACTTTTTTGAAAAATATGCTGATTGTGAAAAATAATCTCACGCTCATCATAACTTTTCCCACAGGTATCTGCAATACTATTTGTCTGATTATTTGACATTTAAGCATACTGTTGCTTACTTGCCAAAAAAAGAGTGGGTTTACAAAGAGTTGAAGAAGCAAAGATAATACAGTCATTGAAAAGTTGAAAGTAACTTAAAACTTCCCTTTACCTTTCATTTATACTGCACCTGTAGCTGATCACTTCACTGAGGGAAAAGGAAGAGAGAAAAGTAAAGGAAAAAACCCAAACCAAACAGCACATCAAGATGCCTCCAACTTCCTCCCTCTTCAGAAGCTGCATCCCTGCAGCTACTTCTGAGGGAGAAACACTAGGGAAATGGAGAGAAGCAGCTTTACTCTTCCAGTTGAGAACAAAAGTCAACAAGTATATATCTATAATTTCTATATATCTATATATCTATATATCTATAATTTTCCACTAAAGAGAAGGGAGAAGGGAGAGAAGAGAAAAGAAGTGGAAAATAAAAGCTCTTTATTGGTTCTAATTGCTATTTCTAAGATGATTATAGTAGTGTGTAAGATACATAAAATGATTGAAAAAATAAAAGTGTACAGAACTGACCATTGATTGAATATCAGATTTCATTGTGCTTTTGTGCATTGAGCACTTCAATTGATATAGGAGAAATACTCCAACAGTGAACAAGCCCTTTTAAGAATCCCAGATATCTGTCTCAACCCAGAAATTACCAGCTAACAAACACTGTAAAATATTTCAGTGATCATTATAGAGTGGTTCATCCAGAACTGTATGCAAATACGTTAGAATGATACTTAAACTGTTCTTGTAATATTTGAATTATTTACAGTAGGAAGTAATGCTTAAGAAAAGGCCAAATCATATTGCTTATAAGGTTGAGGTAGATATATCCATGACCATGGAACAAAACCACAAGAGAAATGTTCCTGCTATATTTTCATAGGTGAACATGGCTTAATATGGCTGAGATGCAGCGCAAAATATGAAGAATATGGAAAGGGCTATCTGTAGAGTTTATGAGTATTTTGAACTTTATTATTAGTTTAGAATTTGACTTTCACTTGGGAATCACTGACAACTCTCTTTTTTTGTTTGGAAAAACTTTGCTTCAGTGTAATACAATTAGATATTAATAAAGAAAATATTTTAAAAGTTATTTCTTTGAAAAAATTAAGCAAAATTTCATAACAAATTAAAAAGTAACATTAGTTAATACACCATGCACCATAATTTTAAAAGAATGGCCAAAATGTTTGAGTACAAGGTAGCCAAAAAAGGACTCTTACAAAAAAGAAATAGATAATAGCACAGAACTATTTTTTCAATGAACTAAGAGTACCTAGTGGTATAAATGAAGCCAATTAGCATATGTATTAAAATATTTTTGAAATCATGAAATATATAATTTGGGGAATTATTAGAACTTTCCTCTATTTTCTATTTCTGTCTTCTTTTTTCATGTTTTCTTTAACATTTAATAGAAACTATGTACAATAAAATTTTACTGTATTTTACATAAGATAGCCATAAGATAGTGACAACTCTTAAATAGCAAAGATGATCAGAATTGCATCTAATAAATAACAATCTTCATGTCTTGATCTCTAAGTAGAAAAGCATTACCACCTACTTAGTTAGCCAAGCTAAACAACTTATGTTTATAATGTTTTTGCTCTGTTACATTCCTTCTCATATTTTATTAATCATATATTTACCATATATCTTTACATCTCTCATTATTTCCAGTTTTCATGACATTATTTCTAGATTTCATTGTATCTTGCCTATGTAATAGCAAAACTTTTTATTTGATCTGTTTACTTTGAATCATTTCCTTCATCAATCTGTCCCTTTACAAAATATGTGTAATTTTGTCAACTCTCTTGCTTACAGTTTATTTATTCATCATTGCCTGGAGAATAAGGTACTAAAGCTTTAAGGTGAGTTGTAAGATCTGAATACAGGCCTTTATTAATTTATATTTTCTGAGCAGGTAACATCTGATCATATATAGGAATACAAGACTACTAAACAATACTGTAAGATTTTCCTCTAGAACTTCTATACATGCTTCCATTTGTAGAGTTCATCACCAAAAACTGTGACTGGAGAATTCCTCAACATCATGGTAGATTTCATTATGTATTTGTTCCTTTTGAAACCATCCTGATTCCCTCACATAGAGTGTTTTTCATCGTTTGAGTTAATGCTTCTCTGATATGTGATGGTTTTGTGATCATACTGACGATGTCAATTTGGTGAAATATATATTCCCTTTTGGGGCATCTTTTTCCCTCCCTTCATTTTCTTTTCTTTTTCTTTTCTCTCATTTCCTTTACTCCCTTTTTTTCTATAATTTTCCTCCTTTATATATATATGTTCAATAAGTTTCTGTATATCTATTTTCACTTATATCTTCCCACTTATCTTTCTTTTCTTATTTTTGTCCTCATTTATAGATTTTCCCCTTTTCCTTCTTTTTCTCCACCCTTCCTTTATTTTTCCCCAAGAGAATTTGTTAACTTTTAAATAAATACCCTAAAATTTTCTCCAGTATGACCATACTGATTTCTTTATCTCACCAATAAACATGATACAAGATCTAAATCTTGGAGAGTGCCTTTGAAATGCATGGCATAACTGTAATATACTTCAAGATAGCAAATATATTTTTATTGTCTTGTTTTTTGTTTGTTTTTTTTTTTTTCTTTTTTTGGTACCGGGTCCTTGTGCTTGCGCAGCAGGTGGTGAAACCACTGAGCTAAATCCCTGGCCCATTTATTGTCTTGTTAAACTTAACATCTCTGCAGGCTCTGCCATAAAATTATTTCCTTTTCTTAATTACTATTCAAATAAAATGCTGAAAATTTATATTCACTGTAAAATTAATTTTATAACTCAAAATTTATTTCATTAGGAATATGGGAAAGATTTACTTCTTTTGCTATTGTACATTATTTGTTGAAAATTATTCATTTCTGCTTTGATTTTTAAATAACGATAATGGTACAAAATTTGGCTGAAAATGAAATAAACTCAGCTATTCATCACTCAAAAATTATTTATTTTAAATAAATTATGTCTCCTTAAAAATATATTAGGTTACTGATCGCCCAACAGGAAGATGACTGAGACATGGAAAATTTGAGAAGTGATAAAATAAACATAGACATACAATCTTACTCGTAAGTAAAATTGGCATAGGTCAATAGACAAAACAGTCTTGGAAAAGAAAATGAGAGTTGGAATTCTCACGTTTCCTGATTTCAAAACTTTTCCCAATGGGGAAAGCAGTGTTTTTAAGAAATGATATTGGGAGAACTGGATACCTGCACATAAGAGTGTGAAGTTGGACTTTCACCTTATACAATATGTAGAAAATGAACTCAAAGTCATTAAAGACCAAAATTTAAGAACCACAACTATACCATCCTTAGAAAAAATATAGGAGAAAAACTTTCTGACGATGGATTTGAAAATGATTACTTGTATATGACACTAAAACCCTATGCAAATAAACAAAAACTAGATATGTGAGTATGGCCTAAAAATTAAAATTTGGTTTTGGAAATAGTCAAGAGTAAAAAAGACAAACCATAGAATTAGAGAGTAAATTTGAAATTTATATAGCTAATAAAGGATTGCTATGCAGAATATATAAAGAACTTCTACAAGTCAACAGCAAAAAAGTAAACAAGATTAAGATATGGACAAAGGACTTGAAGACTCAGACCTAGGAAGAATATGTACAAATGAATAACAAGCACATTAAAAGATGCTCTTCTGTCATTTATCATTATGTGGATGCAAACAAAACCTAATGAGATACTTTTTCACATCCATGTATATGAGTATCACCAGAAAAAGAGAACATAACAAATGTTGACAAAGATATGGAAAAATTAGGATGCATGAGCATCACTGAAGAGGAAGTAAAATATGATCCTATTAGGTAAAACTGTATGGAGTTTTCTCAAAAACAATACAATTATCATAGAACTCAGCAATTCCACTTCTGGGTTTATACCCAAAGGAAGTAAAAGGGATTCATCCACATC